GAAGAGATCTACCTCTGGAGTACAAAAAATGTGGGACAATTCTATGAACAGGGGAGGATGGAGTCTCCATTCTGAGTGGTCGACTTGAGATCGACTCAACCAGTCTGCCTGGGAGTTGTCGATCCCCGAAATATGGTCTGCCCTGAGAGACAGGAGGTTCCTCTCCGCCCATCTCCCCAAACGTTCTGCCTCCCGCATCAAACCCCTGGATCTGGTCCCTCCTTGCCTGTTGACATGAGCCCTGGCTGTTATATATCTGACATTCATATCTGTCATGACTAGCACATGGGACCCTGACACTAGGTTCCGGAAACTTCTCAAGGCGAGAAAAATAGCCCTGAGCTCCAGGAGATTGATGGGAAGGGACCTGTCTGAAGACGGCCAGTGTGCTTGAGCCATCTGTTCCTGGGGATGTGTTCCCCAGCCGAGAAGGCTGGCATCCGTGGTCACTACAATTCTGTCTCTCACCATAAAGGGATGACCCTTTGTGATGGCCTGGGACTGCCACCATCGAAAGGACCAAAGCACCTGTGGAGAAAGCAGCACCCTGGAGGCAGAATGACTGATCCCCTCTCTTTGGAAGGGGAGGAGGAACCACTGCAAGGTGCATGCACGTAGGCGTGCCCATGGCACAACTTTGATGCAGATCATCTTTCCAAGCAACTGGGACAGGAGGGAGAGTGGAATGGAGTGACTTAGTTGAATTCTGTTGATCAACTCTTTGATGCTGTCCTGTCGGTCCTGTGAAAGGAAGACTTCGCAGCTGACTGTGTCGATGATGACCCCGAGGTGCAACAGTCAGGGCATTGGAGAAAGATGGCTCTTGATCAGGTTGATGGAGAAACCATGTTCCTGCAACACCTGCATCGTGATTTGAAGATCTCGTTTGACAGAGGTAGGTTGAATCAGAATATCATCCAGGTAGCATTGGACCCTCACAGGTAAGGCTCGGAGGAGGGCTGCCAATGCTGCCTGGACCTTAGTAAAAACCCTTGGTGCCGATGAAAGGCCAAATGGTAGGGCCCGGTATTGGTAGTGCTCATTGCAATACGAAGAACGGAGGAACTAGCGATGGGGAGGCCAAATTGGGATATGGAGGTAAGCCTCCGTGAGGTCTATGAAAGAGAGGAGATCGCCCTCTCGGACGCTCTGAAGAATGGAATGTAGGGTCTGCATCTTAAAATGCCTGTATGGGATGAATTTGTTCAGGAGCTTAAGATCAAGGATTGCTCTCCACCTCCCCAAGGCCTTCGGGATAATAAAGAGGCGGGAGTAGAAGTCCGACCTCCGCTGATCCCATGGAACTCTTTCTATGGCTCTGATGTCCATCAGGTGATGGATAGCTGAGTCCATCAGGGCCCGTTTAGATGTGTCACGAGAAGTAGGACAGCTGACAAAAAACAATGGAGGGGGGGAAAGAAATTCGAGTCAAAGGCCCAATGATATTGAACTGATGACCCAGGCGTCGTTAGTTGATTCCTCCCATCTGGATTTAAAAAAGGTCAAACGACCTCCGATGGGAGTGGATGCAGTTACTTAGAGCGCCTGAATGAACGACCTCCCCCTCGAAAGGGCCACTTACCCAAGAATTGTTGTTTGGGTTGGCGGTCCTGCTATTCTCGATGAGGGGGATACATTGTCTGGTTGCAACTGAAGCAAGGGGTGTTGACTGGCCTGAAGGTTTGCGTTCTGGGGTACATGGTGAGTCAAAAATCTGACCCCTTGGAGGAAGTAGACAGCACCTTTCTCTTGTCTCACTTCCTCAGGTACCCCTACGGAACCCCTACCACCACGTATGGCTCTAAGTCTGCTCCAAAGAGGTTTTCTCCTGGGCAAGGGGCTACTGTCAACTTCCACTTACGCTTGGAGTCGGTCTGCCAGTTGTGCATCCACAGCAGGCGCCTGGCAGACACGGAAGAGGCCATTGCCTTTGTGGCGAATTTGGTGGAGCTTAAAGTGGCATCGATGGTGAACTCGGCTGCTGCTATTATTTTGTTGGGGTCCTGGTGGGACCTAACATCAGAAATGGGAACTCTGTCCTGAAGTTGACGCAACCAGCAAATAGACGACCTGGTAAAAAATGAGGCTGCGGTGGAAGCTTTCAAGGCCCAAGCTGCGGCCTGGTGTGTGCGCTTCAGAGTTTGTTCCGACTTTTTGTCCTCCGGTCATAAAACATCCTCCAGTTCCATAGGGGTACCTGAGGAAGCGAAGATGGCTACCACCGGGGAATCTACTGCGGGGAGAGCTAATGCATTAGCCAAGGCGGGACCTACATTAAAAAACCTCTTGTCCTGGGAAGAAAGGCAAGGCCCTGACAGGATGTTCTCACATGGGTCCTTTACTACATTCAAGAACAAGGGAGATGGGAGAACCTCATTTCGGACCACTGGTTTGGAGAATAGTGTATCTCCCTGGCTTAAGGGGCCAGCCTGTGGTACCGGGGCCACCTCTTCTGGGCTTAACTGGGCTGTAACCAGAGCCTTCTATAGTAAGGGCCGAAACAAGGAGGGCTTAAAGACAGCAGTTGTGGACGGTTGTTCTGGTTTGGTTTCCTCTTTGTCGGAGAGGAAGGGGTCTTTAATTTCCCCCTCTTCCTCCTCTGAGGAACTACCCTGTTCAGAGTGGTAAGAGGATCCCGTCATCCTGTCCCTTCCAGCTATAAAAATGATGAGGGGTATACATGGGTTCCGAAGTGGGAACCTCCCATCGTGGGGGAGGGTTACCCTGACAGAAGGGATACCCGAGCCTCTGCCCGGGGCGTGGAGGTGTTTGTGACCTTCAGCAATGCCCTGTCTGACTGCCACTGAAACTACTTCCTGGATGTCTTGGTGCCTGTTCTCCTGGGGAAGAACTATCATCTGGGGCCCAGTCACAGAAGGGATAAGGTTAGCTTGCTCCCTAAACCTGTAAACCCCTAGGGGCAAAGCCTGCTGAGGGTTAGGTGTAGCTGTGTTCCAAGTAGGTGGCCTGTAAGAAGGGCCTGACAAACTCAGGTCCTGGGGGAGGGCCTCATCCTGCCTTTCAGGTGACCAGTTCCGTAGATGGCAAGCCGGATTTTCATCTGCCCTCTCTGTGCCTGCAGCTTGTTCTTGTAATTGTTTAGCATTTTTTGTGAATTGTGTCTCTAAAGCCTCATGTCTTCTCTTTTCTGCCCTAAGTTCAGACTTGGAGGCCTTTTTGGGGGCTAGGGCCCTGGCCTTGATCTTTGCTGCGGCCTCCCTGTTGGCTGAACGGCCTCGTGGTCATTTTCTTTTCATAACCCTTTTGGGGGCTTGAAGGGTCTGAATGCTCTGTATGCCTGATGGTCCTGGCTGGGCCCAATTTATTTCCATTGCTCAAGGAAGAAACACCGGAGGTGCTGTCAGCTCCTCCTGATGATGTTTTCTTAGCTAAATGGCCAAGAGAGAGATAGGATCACTGCCTTGGGGCCCACTAAAAAATGGCGCCCGGAGGAACTCGATCACAAAATAGTCACCAGCCACGAGGTGAAGGGCCTTGAGGCCTTCGATGATCCCTGTTGCACCTTTGAATCCCTGGGGCTTCGTGCTGTGGCCATTGTTTGGCAATTTATAATGGCTGGATAAATATCTTCACAGAAGAAAGATTGCCCCTCCAATCGATGCAGCAGTAGAAGGGAGGTTGGTTGGGATCGGGCCTAACGCTACAGAGACCACGAGGGCAGCTATTGTAAAACTTTGATAGTTTATGGCCTAATAAATCTTCTGGAAGACTTGTGCAGCCTTGGGAGGTTTTTACAAGCCGTGCGGCCCAAGGAAAAGCTGCATGGGAGGCTGTTGTGATGTTAACTAGCCTCTGGCAAGTCTGAGGGAGGTTCTGCGGCATTTTGGCCGATTGCACTTACTGTCTGCGTGTCAGTACCTTGCTGAGGTAGCTGCAACTGGAGGAGAGTGGATCCCCGCTCTCCTCGTGAGTGAAGCTCTACCAGAGCCCTGAGAACGCCTCTCGATCTTGATTATTCTTTTTTTCTTTTTTTTCAATGCTTTTGTTTTGAGGAATGCTAATTAACTCAGATCCGGAGACAATAGCTCATATGTACAAGAGCTGAGTCAAAAAGCTGGGGCTCTCAGCAGAGGTGAACCTTTTATAGTGGCAGACTCAGCTCACGTCATAAGAGGGCAGAGTTATACCCAATGCTGGAATCTAGAGCAGCGTGATGGAGAATGGTACCATTCTCATCAATACAAACAATGCCTAATTTCTAGTAATTTTCCAGTTATTGGTGTTTTGTCTATACAACGGCAATGTTCTTTGTCCAAATTAGCAGTTTTTAGTTGCAATTTATAATTTCAGAAATATTGATTTTATTTTTGACTAGACTCTAGACAAACTGCATGGATAGATACATAATATTGACTCAAGGTATTATTTTACATCTTCTTAATCATTAATTTATGTTACAATAGTTCTTAAATTGGATAAAAATGCACTATTCATATAAAAATATAATCTTTTGACATAAACGCAACAATACCACTAAGAAAAATAGAATGTAATCACCATAATAAAATTTGTGCTTTCATGCCATGGTCTGTTTGCAACGTCATAGAAAAAAGAGAATGACTCATACTCTTTGTTTGCTGGTTGTTTTAAGATTGGAATGTCTACTTTTTTTGCCAGGCTTTAATGATATAGGAAAATCTAGGCCCCAATATACATTTATTTCAAAACAGGTTTGTTAACTAATTCTGGATTCTTATGTCTACTAGGATTTCCATCATTTACAGTACCAATATCCACCTGACATATCAATATTTATATTACATGTCCACTTTAGTAAGAAATTAAGAGAAAAATATTCAAATTATGGTTTAATTTAAGTCAAAATGAAACACATATGAAAAAGTATATTCCTTCTTGCTTCATCTTCATCATTATCATGAAAAATTCAGGCAGAAATTTGAAAAGCTTCAGGCATTTTTGCTTTTGTATCACTCTTAAATTCTGGGCAGGGAGCCACGTAAATCTGTTTCATCTTATGGATTTGGATCAAATCCATACTCAACTCCACTTCATTAGCTAAAAGGAATAAAAATCTTTAATAATAAATCTATATGATACCCCTAAATTTTAACATTATTCACTAAAAGTTCCATTCTTCTGAGCTTGCGTTTATTTTTTGGCATTGGTTTGTCATATAAACCATTTTTAAGAAGATGCTCCTTGCTGTGATGGACTTGGGCACCATGCTGGATCTGGAAAGCACAAAGAGCTTGAAGAGGACGAAGTACAGTCTGTTTAGAAAAAAAGAAGACAAAAGACAACTTAAAGCTAGACATAAATTACCTAGGCCTGTAGTTGTATGAAGTTAAATAAATATCTTGCTTCTGAGCATATTTACTTGGAAGTGATATTAATCTATGAATTAATTTTCTTGAAGATGTGGAATATATTCCTGTTTTTTTTAAAAAAGCCAGTCAAACAATTTCAAGCATGATTTTAAAAGCAGTTACAATCTCAGTTTCACACTTTTCTCTGTTGGGTTACACGCCGAACTGCTTAGTACTATGTTACTACTAAGAATGAGTTTAGCTTCCTCTACTAATTCTTGCTAAATAAATTAGAAATAGTAAATTAAGGGAAATATTTAATTTAGAAGTTTTTGGGCAAATAATCTATTGTATACAAAATATTTTCCACTACAATTCCATAATGCTAATTACAAGAAGGACATCATTTCTGATGACACAGTTATAAATCCTGAAAGTACAAAATTGTCTCTGTAAAAAGTACAAGTAGAGATAATACAATGGACTCCCCTGAGCAACATGCTGACACATTGTTACATCATGTAGTTTCCCTGGCAATAATATTGAGGTTTTTTGCCACTGCGCTTTGTTTTGTTTTTTTGACCAACCACAATAATTTTGTGTTCCTCTCTGGTGTCATTTCCCAGTTGTGTGCCAGTTACCTTTAATTTCCCGCTTCTTTACACACACAAAAACACTGACCAGTATCAATATTGAACAAGGATTATAAAATATTTAGCATTATTTTAGTCAAAAGGATGAAAACAATTCTGAAGGACTTTATGCATGACAACCAATGTGGTTTCTTATCTAAAAGACAGTTGACAGATGACATCAGAAATTGACACCATAATGAAAAATAAGTTGTTATTGATATGGGGAAAGTATTTGACAATTTGAAATAAATTTTTCTATTTAATTTTGGAAAATATGAAATTTGGAGAAAGCGTTATTAAATGGGTGAGATCGATATATACAACAAATCTAGCACAAATTACAGTCAATGGCAAATTGATTAATCCTGTAGCACACAAAAAGGTACAAGACAAGGCTCTCCACTTCTGCCTGTTGTTCATTTTAGTTCTTGAAGTTCTTAACAGATAGCAATAACAATTGTACTTAGATTTATATACCACTTCACAGTGCTTTACAGCCAACTCTAAGCAGTTTACAGAGTCAGCCTATTGTCCCAAACAATCCGGGCCATCATTTTTCTGAAAAAATATCTTTTTTGAAAAATGATACAATTTTAATTAATGGAAAAAGGATATGTCCAAATTTGTATGGCAAGGAAAAAAATAAAGGGCTAAATATAATATGCAGAAGAAAAAAGCATTAGGATTGCCTGATTTTAGATTATGTTTTGCAACCTGCTGCTTGGTTTGGATGAAAGAGTGACTGTTGCTGAAAAATAAAATAATGTAAGAATTTGAAGAATATAACCTGATATTTGGTTGGCATTAGTTTTTATGGCTTTTCAAACTTAAAATTAATGTAGATATAAAAGAAAACATTATGTAGAAAGTACCATATTAAGAATATGGAATAAATACAAGTAAGGGCTATGCTCGAAAATACCTCATTTCTTTCAGTACAGAAAGCTTTTTATAGAAAAGAAACAGTGGAAAAAGGAGTACTGCTTAACATTATCAAGATTTATCAGTACAGGAAAATGGAGAAATTAAGATAATGCCATGAGAACAACTGAATTAATTTTCAAAGGTTTTCATCTGCACATTTAAAAGAAAGATTTAATATAGATAAAATATACTGGAATTTAGCAATATAAAATGAAATTTAAACTGAATTATATAGAAATGATGAACGTGTGATTGTAAAATGTATAAAGCTTCATTAAGATTTGAATGGAAGAGGAACAGGCTAAAGATTGATAAAATGGGCACTTAATTTTCATTATAATATGCAGACAGCCAAATGGGACAAAATGTGGATGAATGGAATGAAATTTGTATTATGCTATAGTTTAAGAAATAATTTTTATAAAAGGATGTACCTTTTTATGTACATAATTTTTATGTACCTGCGGACCCCATGATATGATGGGAATAACATAAAGATGTACCTTTACATAAGACTTAGAAAAAAATATCAAAGACATATAAAGCTACTTCAAATCAATGTTGGAAATGTGAAAAACAGGCAGTGGACTTGTGAAAAAGCCAAAAAATACAAATACATACATCTGGATACAAATCATTTTAAAGATTATGACGGGGAAAAAACCAGAACTTTTGGACATATGGATAGTGAATTAGAAAAGATTTATGGAAAATTGATTTTCTATATAGTGACTGCAACAAGTTTATTATTTGCAAAATGATGTAGAAATACTGACACACCCATCATAGAGGAATGGAGTGTGAAAATGACAGAAATGATCCCTTTGGTCAGGGGCAAAAATAAGTACTTCTATAAAAGACTAGAAAACCTTTATGAATTTTTTTGCTGAAAATGGAGAAAAGTGAAATGAAAATTTCTGGATTTGATTATTGAAAAAGGATTGAATAAAGGGTTTGAAGGAATTTTTGAGAGAAGTAGAACAATTACATTATTTACAACTGTTGGAAAGAGATTGCTTTCTTTGTTTGATTCCTGTTTCTTTACATAATCAGTTTTTATTACTGTTTCGCTCTTGACACTGTTTCTCTTTTTTAATTTTTTCTTAATCCTTTTTTCTTTACTGTATATTTTTATTTATCTTTTATGTACAAAAATAATTTAGATTAAACATTACTTAAAAAGACAATTACCCGTTTCCATTTTTATTCCTTTTTTTAAAAAAAACATAATAGCCTCTGCCAACTTCATTGTCGAAATTGTTTTCATTGTAAAATATTTGTTTTTAAGCAGAAAAGTGATGTTGAAGATTGCATACTACTTCAGTGATAAGTACTAATTGAGAGACTGAGTATCACACTGTGTACAGATATTGGACTCAGAAAAGGTAGGGCCAGGTTTTGGTGCATACTCAGCTTCAGAATTTCACTGGGTGACTCTGGGCAAGGGACAAAGATAGCAGGATGGAACATTTGCCATGACAGCCTTGACCGCCTCAATGAAAAGCAGAATATCAATTTAATGAATAATTAAAAATAAAAATATGTTATGTGGTGATAAGACAAAGGACTTGATTGATTTCTATTTCTGTGAACTCTCCAAAGTTTTATAATTTTTACAGTTTCATTATGACATGACACATACCTCTTTCAAAAATTCAGATGAGGTTTTTTTTTTTTTGCTACATGATAAACCTATGTTTTACAGAATATTGCCTATATTCTAATGTATTTAAAGAGTTTTATAAAAGCCCTTTCAAATTATTTAATTTAAAGATTTGCAATAAGGAATAAGCTCTAGGTTAAAAAATCATTTTGGGGAGGATATATGGAAAAGCTGACAGCCATTTCAAGTGACATGTCCAAAAGGCAAAGTGCAGGGAAAGCATTTTAGTCTTTTGACAGAGTCTTCCATCATAAAGCAGTGGGATCGCTTTTTAAAACAAAGGTTAATGTCTTATTGTTCTTCTTTGATCTAGTAAAATAAGCTTAATCTCTAGGGCTGTCATGAGCCAAATTCTTCTAATGGCATTTGGCAATTATAAGCTGTTAGGTAGATTGAAATAGCTCCTATGGCAAAAGTTTTCAGATAATGTATACTTTTTATCTCATATAAATATCTACATATTTATGAGTGGCCTTACAGATACATTTTAATCTTCATGTTGATTACCAAGTTTGCTTAGGTCATTTTGAAAAATAACTTGTGAAGCAATTATTTTCATGCAGGACTATTAATCACTTGACTAAAATAAGATTATAAGCATTCTACAACAATGATAGCAAGTGCAAATCTGGTTAACAGGACAGACTGAAAAATAGATGAAGGGGTAGCAGGAGGTAAATCTAGAACTGTCAATAATTCCAAATTATACACACAACCAAATCCTCACATTTTATATTCTCTAACGTATTTCATGTTTCATATATTATTTTTCATAATTATGTGTGGTATGTGGATTTTCATCACAATATTTTTGAGATCAATTTGAAGGTACAGCAACAAGATCTGTCCAGTATCAGTTGCCTCAGCAATAATGAGACAATCAATTTAATCTTTACAGAGAGTGCAGGTTTATCAGGGAGATAAAATAAAATGGGATTTGAGATCCATGTTTTAACTTAGGAAAGGTTAATCAGCTGCTATGGGAAAGGTGGTTGGAGGAGACAAAATTATTCAGCGCTTTTCTATCCCAGCCAATACCTACTCGTTCTATCTTTTTTCCCTTCTTGATCACAAACATGATCTATTGTAGGGGTGTCAAACTCACGGCCTGTGGGCTGGATGTGTCACATTCTGGCCCCGCCCCTGCCCAGTTTAGCAAAGGGGAAAAAAGTCCCGATACATCACATGATGCCGTGACATGAATCTGACATCCCTCAGCTATTGTTTCTAAAAGGTTTGCCATAGTCTTGTACTTTAGTCTTATACCAAATGTCTTCCTCATATCAAGAATCCTCTACTCTTCTTTGAAAAAAAAATAGACATTCAGGATAGTCAATGTTGCTTTTACTCAAAACTTAGCATGGCTGTGTGAAGGAACAAATATCCCAAGCTACATGTGGTATATAAATTGTAACTCCATCAAATATTCAAAAATATTCTTTTACAAAGCTCACATATTTATTTTCCTTTCTCATGGTAAAGGAAGACTAAATGTTTTCCTTTTTTTCCTTTTTTAATTTATCTTTACAAACTCCCTTTGCACATATATGATGAGAGGACTAGTTTCTAAGTCTTATCATAATTGTTGGTTAAACAGCAGTTACACAAGGAACTGCAGTCAGATCTTTGAGTTAGGAGAGGGATTAATGACACTAAAATAACAGAGAGAAGAAAAAATATGAAAGAAAAAAGTGGTTAAAAAGCAAAGGAGACACAGAAGGACAGTGCAATTTCAAATACAATTTTTGGAAGCCTCGGTAAGTGAGAGAGACATATTTCTGAATAAAGAAACAAGATTAGGTTGCTGTTACATGGTTGCAAATCTTATACCTGCTTTCTTTCTCTCCTTCCTCTTATATCTGCTCAACTGGAGATTCATTCAGCTAAAGAAATCTGCCAACCTTAAACTAATGCTGTAGGCTACATGGAGAAAAAAAATGCACTTTTGCTAAACTGATCTCAGTAATGCATAACAGATGCATCAGTAAACAGATATATAATCAAATGACAGCTAAGCAATGTATTTAATGAAGCAATAGTTTACTTTTAACATATATTTCTATATTTATTCAAACCCACACATCCACATTATATGGATTGAAAGGTGAAAATTCAAGGTTTCTCAAGTTATAATAGCAACTGGGATGGAAATTTCCATTGCTAAGCAATGCAGTTGTAAAGAATTCCCAAGTGCCCAGATCGTGATCATGTGACTGGAGGGGGGCTGCAATGTTTGGTTATTCAGGAACTGGTCATAGTCCATGTGTCACCATAACTTGGATCATAGTCCAGTGCCATCATAACAATAATTGTTTTAAAAAATGCAAACAAAGTTATGCAACAAAAGCAACAAATCAGTGTTCTATTAATCTCATATGCTTGGTATAAAGACACATTATTGACTTTCTTTGAATTATTTCCAAATTCTCCTTTACTTCATTACACACACACACCCCTTTTATTTAGCTAACCAAATGACAGTGAAAGCCAAGAAAATTGATTTTACATGCTTTGTGCCATAGTGGACCAACAGTACACAATGTTGAAAAAGAAGCTTTCTAGAAGGTGTATCAAAGAAGTGGGATGATGCATATGAACAGGAGTGGCAAGATTAATGTAAGAATAGGTGGGGTAAAAAATAACCTTAAGAGAATGGTATTCCTTTCTGCCAGGTTTTCTAAACTAAATGTACTACAGCTCTTAATTAGGAAGATTTAAAAAAAGATGGAGTGTAAAATTTGAACCGTGGCCAGTAAAACAGCCTGTTTTTTTTAAAAAAAAACATAAGTATAGCTTGCATTTGGTTATTCCATTAGTAGAGTACATGACTTTAAAATTACCTACCTCTTTAATTGCATCATTTTTTTCCACAATGGCTAGGGCAATAGCTGCACATTCAAGTGTGGACAGGCATGCATTTGTAGGCTGAGTACGAATTATGTACTGACTTGAAAAACTGGTTTTTAGTTGTACCTGAAAATAGTAATTTCAGATTAAAGAAATACATCATTAAAATGCAGTGTGCTCTCTGTTTCTAAAAAATTTCTTTTAATTATATAAGATTTTGGTTTTTAGTAATAATCATTGGCATTGGATGTAATGACACATGTAGTATTTAATACAAGGATTTGCAATATATTAACAATATTTTTATATTTATTAAAAATAAGGAAAACCACTCTAATGTTTTTACCATCAACACAAAAACAAATCTAAAATAGCACTGCATTAGCATAATAATGTCTGCACTAATACACATATAAAGAGACTATAGTTGAAACTGCTACATGAAACACCAGTGGGATGAAACTGAACAAATTGGAGGGCGGTGAAAGTAAGATGTTTAGGCTTATTGCTTTCCTATCAAGAAACATTTATATATAAAAATATTTTGACGAACTGTGAAATGCTACAAAATGTAGCACCAGCATTACAGTGGAAAGAATTCTTACTTAATCATCAATTTCACTTATAGTTACATAACACATTTTTACAAATGGACCAGCAGAATATACAATGAATGTTTAGCTTGCTCATGCTACAATTTTACAGCTGGGTAGTAAGATATATAAAAGTAACAGATTATCCTGAGAGTAAAGTACTTTATTTTTGTGAAATAGAACCGAGTGTCAATCTTCATATTAAATTTATCTTACAAAGGAGCTTGTTGCCTAATGAGTCATTAAACATTACATTTGCTATTATATTATGCTCAACTGTTCATTGTAGAGTATCCAATATGTCTACTCAATGACATCTATGTGTGAAAGACATTTTTACCAGTTAATTACTTTTCTGGAAAGAGATGTAGTCCCCTCCTTAATCATGTTATATTGTAATTTGAAATGCAGTCATCAAGAGTTTAAATTCCAAAATTGAATAGGCCTTCTTTGCAAAGTTTTCACTAAGATCAAAGAAACATCACACAGCTAAAATGCAATATACACTTGAATACAAATGACAGCATATACTCCTTAACTATTATTAATAAACATATTTCCATGTTAATTAAAATTATAACACAAGATTAATGTTTCATAGTACTGGAAGAATTGTCCATCTGGGTTAAGTTCCAAGTGGGAAGAAAGACACTGGAAATATGGAGACTGCTTGGAAGGATGGTTTAATGGTGGACAGGACCACATGGTCCTGGGCAAAAAATGAGCACATGGGTGAGAGAGGGAGAGATTTATATCCTCTGTTGGACTTTGAACTTGCTTCCTGTTTCTGTGGCCATGCAGGGGTAACTTTGTAGGTTGTGTTTTTATATTGTATGCTTTTTGTTTTGTTTTGAATTGTTGAAAATTCCCCAAAGTCATGTATTTAAAATGGGAGACTATATGAATTAAAATCATAAATAAATTACTCCATAAAGAATTATACTCAGTAAATATATAAATAACTGCTAATGCATTCTGTCTTATCTTTACATTTTATTTTCTTTATGGGCCTCTAATTTCATTTTTTCATCACAACAGAGTTATACAATATGTTAAAATTTTAATAGACTAAAAAAAACCAATAAAATAAGGTAAATAAAATGAACAGCATGTTAGTAATATTAAAATGGGGTGCAAAAACAGAGAAATAAAAGGAATCCCAGATTGTACAGAAAAGAGTTTTTCAGTTTTCCTGAGCTGGTATGAAATAATAAATAGTATCCCTAACCTATATGTACTCCAAATCATTAAAAAAAAAGCTATGCATAGCAAAAATATCCACTTCTGCTGAATAAAGTCCCATCAGTTACTTCCTTGATGGAAAAAGAAACGCACAGCTAAACTGTCAGTTCACTTTTGAAAATTACATCAAGAATATAAATAAATTAGTCAATTGAAACATATTGGCTTTAATTTAAAGTGACATTTTAAGAGCTTCATGTTTTTATATTCTACAGGGAGTAGCTGCCATGCAACTATAAGGAACAGATAAGTCAGAAAAAGTAAATTGATGTCAGAAAACTTTTGTTCTTTATATTCTTATGCATCCATATGCCTATGTAATCTTGCTACCATTGTACGATATATTTACAGAAATGTTAAGAGTGCATTTCAATGACCACAAAGAAAGCTTTTATTAAATTACTATTTTAACTCTGGTCATAAATACATTTTCCCATACTTTATGGTTATTGTTCTCAAAGTAAATAAGCTAATTTTTCTTATCTTATTAAATGTATGGCTAGATGCTGGCAGGTAGAGAAATTGCTGGATTAGAGTTTGGTACACTCCATAAAAAGATCAAGGAAAATCATTCTTCTCCAAAATTATGTTACTGGATTTCTCTGGAAAACAGGTTATCCACAAATTATGAATGTGGCACACATGTATACATATATGCATATGCATAGTTTTGTAATGGTTTGCAGACCAAGGCAGAATAGCAATAGCAATAAGATTTATATACCACTTTACAGTGCTTTACAACCCTTTCTAAATGGTTTTACAGAGTCAGCATGTTGCATATGGGTCTTTATTTTATCGACCTTGTAAGGGCAGAAGGCTAAAGTAAGTGTTTAAGTGTACATGAAGCACTTATTTATAATTCATTTTAAATATAATTTTTATGTTTATTATTTCATTAAGAAATTTAATTGCAATAGTAAAAACTAGTACAAACGTAAACAAGAGAACAGAAACAAATAATAAATAATACAGGAAAAAATAAGTAATATAAAAAAATGACTTTCTACCTTCATCACAATTATAAACAAATTTAATAATTCTTCATTACCTATAAGGTTAAACAGAAATCTCTTCATCCCATATCCTATCCTCTATCTATTAGCAAAAACATATTTTCAGGTTCTGCAAAATCTGCAAAATAGATTGCCAGAACATTAAGGAAAAAATGTCTTATTTTATCTCTGATCAAATAAACCAATGTTATATTCTTTCCTTTTACTTCTAATAGTTTAGTCTTTAGTTCAAATATTGTTGTCATACTTGATTTCTCTTCAATTATTCTTTATCTCATTGCACTGCACAGTTCTAGTTATTGCCAGACACCATTTTTTAAAAATGTCAGAATTTGCCCCATAAAATACACAAACACACACACAAACAAGTACCAAATAATTAAAATTACTTATATCTCTGTATATGCCATATGCTATATAAATAAACACATTTTATAAAATTTTCCAAATTTAAATTCCATGAGAGTCATGAGTCCTGGATTTGGGGTGCATTCTATAAGTGCCCATTTGACATACTCAAATGGGCACTAATATAATGTTGCCTTATGATATAGCATTTCACTCTGCTAAAGGTTATGGGAATGAGAATTTTTAATAGCAAAGAAATGTTATAGCATATGTCAAGAATGGTCTCTGTCTTTTTTTCTTTGGCCATACACTTCTTGCCAATGCTATAAGAAATTACAAAACCATTAATGTTGTTATAAATAGTGAGAGCTACATAAGATATTGCTTTATGTATCATATATTTTTAATAAAGCTGAGACTGGGAATTGAAAAAAAAAGCATAACAGAAAACAATAACTTGGCAAACAGCATCTATGATGTTGCCAAAAAAAGAAGCATGTTAAATCTCTGTAGCCACCAAGAACTGAGTTTGACTCAAGGGATTTATTTTAAAGATTAGATTATTGTGCTGTATGACTTTCCCTCTAGGGCTTGCTGCACTTTCTAGAATAGGCTATTTAAGTCTTGCAGTTGAAATAGCTATATAAAATAAGAGAGATAAAGAATAGCACTTTCACAATTTCCATGTGGGAAACTAGACTCTCACTATTCTCTCAATAATTTAGTCAGCATATTTCTGGGATACCAACTGCCATTCAAACTGTCTCATTTTAAGACATTTCCAAATTTTAACTTGTAAAATGCTAATTTTAATAAAAAATATTGCTATTAGAAAAGAATTAAGCTAAATAGCTGTTGTACCTGAGAATGTTAAAATACCAAGATAGTAAAATAAATATTTTAAGTCTCTGTTTATATACTACAAAAACGGAGGAGAGAAAGCTCTTGAAAAGACTTGTATTACCTTTTTGCTCTGTGTATAGTTCTGAAATGAATGTCAGGCAACCAATCAATATTTTATGCAGTGCTATTCTTTTAATAATTAATGGAAAAGAAAAGTGCTGCAAGAAAATGTAGGCACTGAGCAGAATAAGGATCTCAAGACTGTGTCACGAAGTAAAGAAAGAAATATTATTAGCTACATTGCAAATACCATTTAACTTAAATTAACTGTAAATATCAGAAACACTCTTAAGACAAAAGCAATTTATCTCTCACTGAGGTGTTTGGAAGGCTACTAATTCCCTACATTTTCATTTCTTTTATTTATTTGTTAATGGTACTGGATACCTCCAGAATTATGAATGAAAAAAGATCATGCATAAACATATATGCACACCCTGTAAGACCAATCAATAACAATCTGGAAAGCTCAGAGTACCAACTACATATATTAATTGAAATAAAGCAATTGGAAAAGAAAAAATATTTAACAAAGATTGGTTTAAGAAAATTTATAATAATATATTTTGAGCCTGAAAGAACCAACTTAATGAGAGCAAAGGTGAAATCCACATGAAAACCCCAATTTATAAGCTAGAACAGGAGTGTCAAAATCAAGGCCCAGGGGGCGGATCCAGCCCGCAGGGTGCTTAGATGTGCCTTATGGGGCCACCCTGGAAACAGTGAAGGACTGGCTTGCAGTGCCTCTGCCAGCAAAAATGGAGCTTGGGAAGGCAATGTGAGGCCCAGCCGAGCTCCATTTTTGCTGGCAGAGGTTGCAGCCGAAACAGAGCTCGGGAGCCCATTTTGCTGGCAGATCACCTGGCCCACCATAGACGCTCCCGCCATGAGTGACCACACCCAACCCAGCCTCCCAAGGTCAAACACAATCCTGATGCGGCCCTCAATGAAATGGGCTAGAAGTAGATAAAAAGGGGAGGATTGCTCCATGATCTGCTGTTGTAAACCATATGATAAGGCTGGC